AAGCTTGAAAGAAACTTTGGTCGGACTCACAGCCAAAAAAATTCAGGGGCCAACCCACTTACACCCATAATCTCCCTCTTCTTAGTAATTCGCGAGGGTTCCCCCTACACCCTTGCGATGCAAATTGAACAAAACCATAGGAATCCCCTCAAATCATGCCTATTGCTAATCTTAAGGATTCTCCAATCATATAATCCCACGTGTAATCTTTGACCCGCGTGAACCTTTTTGTCAAGCAGTCAACCAATCCTGCGGATATAAGAAAAAGAATGCAAAAACCCTTGTAAGACAGTTTATAAGTATCACTCTGTTCATAGTAGAGCAAAGCAAAGCCCTTTGAGCCTGGGAAAAACCCTGCTTCCGTTTTCTGTTCTCGGCGGGATCCGAATCTCAAATTATCTAAATCACGGTTAAGATCAGGTAATAAGCTAGTCATTTCAAGGGTTCCTAGGGTTTCTGATACCTATCGTTTTCATATCCTTTTGTCGCTATTATGTTACTGTTTTTTCTTTTTTGAAGTTTTTTTGTATTAGTTTCTTAGTGAAATGAGGGAATGAAGTGAAAATGCTGAACATAGCATTTTTCCGGCTCATTATACAAATTTAGGGTTTATTATGCAGCATTTTGGATTCGATTGTTTTTAGATGTGTTTCGTTTTATGTTGTTGGATTAGAGATATTTATTGTTTTTTCTTGATTCAGGGTTTCATTTGTGCGCCAAGGCTCAAACTAGTATTTTCCATGGCGGTGCGTTATTTGCCTATTACGTCTTATTTTTAGTTAGATAGCTTTGTTTTATTTTATTTTATTTTTTGTTCTGTTTTCTTATGAAGTTTTGCTTTGGCGTATGCTTTGCTTGGTAAATGTGATAGATTGAAAAAATTCTTAAAGATGACGCTAGTGAAGAGAAGGGGGAGCGTGCCCGAATGGTAAGTGGTTATAATTCATATGTATAAAGCTAATAATCTGGTTTAAAGGAAAAATAGAATAACATATGTACTTGTTTGGAAATCTGTGATTTTTTTTTTTTTGCATTCTTGCTATTTTGGGTATCTTATTTTCAATAACATATGCATGCTCTATATCTCTCTCAGGCATCATTTGTTGGGGCAATTGCAATTACTGACTTGGTTAAGACAACCCTCGGACCAAAGGGAATGGTAAATTTTCCCCATTGTGCACATAAATTCAAAGAATCTCGTAACAGTTGTTCTTCTCTACTTTAAATCTTGACTTTCTTGTTGGTGAAATTATCTGGCAGGATAAAATTTTACAGTCAACAGGCAGAGGACATGAAGTCACTGTTACAAATGATGGAGCTACCATCTTAAAGTCCTTGCATATTGACAACCCAGCTGCAAAAGTCCTAATCGGTATCCTTGTAATTGTTTTCATATTCTTAACTACTCTTTATGAGTAACATGGTTGTTTTTCTGTCAATATTTTTAAAAGGTGCTTGGGTTTGTTGAATGTTTTTTGATGATGGAAGTGTTAATGGTTCAGTTAGCTGTGCTAACGGCATTGATGAATTTTGTGTGGACATAGCTTTTATATTATTAGATAATAATCCTTAATACAAAGTTCAGACATCTCAAAAGTTCAAGATGATGAAGTTGGTGATGGGACAACTTCTGTTGTTGTTTTGGCTGGAGAGCTTTTAAGGGAGGCGGAGAAGCTAGTGGCGACCAAGATTCACCCCATGACTATAATATCAGGTTCTTTTGGTCTCAATAGCACATTGCTTGTTCTTATTCTTCTTGTATGCTGCTACTTGCATGTTATGATTTTCCCTTGTTTAGTTCTATTATTACTGTATCTTCTTTTTTTCTTTCAGACTGGTGCATATATGTTTTGACTTTTGAGGCTTCTATGTGGTATTATTGCAAAGGCATTAAACTACTAGAAAAGTAGACTTTGTTATCTATTTTCCTTATAACTATAGCATTAATGAAGAGTCAGGGCATGCTAGCCTTGTCATTCTTTAGTGTAATTTTTTCTAACTTGCATCTATCATAAAAACTTAAAGGAATTGCCTTTAAATATGAACCTGAGAAATAACTTTTAAATATTAATGCTTCTCTCTCTTTACTCCTGATAGGAGTAAATTTTTCATAAGTGCAATTTCTATATTATTTGTTCAGATTTTTATTGTGAATTAAATACCAGTGCAATTGCATGTTTATCTAGAATATCTGGCGTTTATTTTGTTGGTGTGCCAATTGCCAAATAAGTTGTGTTCCCACAGTTTATAACAATGTGTGCTGGTTTTATAGGTTATCGGATGGCAGCCGAATGTGCTCGTGATGCTTTGTTGCAGAGGGTTGTGGATAACAAAGAGAATGCAGGTGATGATTGCTGGCTATGAGTACATTTGTCTTAATTGTGTATGCATTCTATGAAACCTCTATCTGTTGTATTCTTTGCACTTGTTGATTCCTCATTGAACTAGATTATATTAATGTGTTTGACTTAATAAAATCTGTAATTGACTTGTTCCTGCCATTAGAATTTGTCTTTACCCTATTATAATTGTTTCTTATGTGTGTGGTATTTCTGAATTTGCAGAGAAATTCAAGACAGACTTAATGAAAATTGCAATGACCACTTTGAGTTCCAAAATTCTCTCTCAGGATAAGGAGCATTTTGCACAACTAGCTGTGGATGCTGTTATGAGGTTAAAGGTGATTATTTTTCTGCATCTAACATTTTAAGATTAAGTGTTTAAATGCTGTTGGGTTTGGGAGTTATGTTGTTCTGAAGCTGTCCTGGCTTATGGAACGATTTTGTTGAGAATTCCCGTTTCCTCTGGTTTGTTACTTTAATTGAATTTCTTTTTCCTTTTTTCCTAATTGACTTTGATGGCTTGCTGTTTGAAACTGCAGGGGAGCACAAATTTAGAGGCCATCCAAATTATCAAGAAGCCTGGAGGATCTTTGAAGGATTCTTTCTTAGATGAAGGGTGAGTTCTTCCGAGCTTCTTGTCCCCTACAATAGTTTTGTGGTGGGATCGGCTGGGTCCCTAGTACATCACCCTTTTCCTAGTTCCCCTGTATTCTGCAAAAGTTTTGGTCCCAGCTTATCACTCTTATTCTCATAGATAACCAATGTTTGATATATCCGAATACTGTGAGAAGGAAGGATACTATCAGCATCATTTTGTTGCAGACTTTGGTGCATTATTTCTTATTCTGTCATTGAATGGTTCAAGGTATCACTTTGGAATTTCTATTAATTTAAACATAGAATTATATGCTTTCAGATTCATTCTTGACAAGAAGATTGGTGTTGGACAACCAAAAAGAATAGAGAATGCTAAGATTTTGGTGGCAAACACTGCAATGGATACGGATAAAGTGAAGATATATGGTGCACGTGTCCGTGTGGATTCAATGTCTAAGGTTGCTGAAATTGAAGGGGCTGAGAAGGAAAAGATGAGAGAAAAGGTGCAAAAGATCATAGCACATGGGATTAACTGCTTTGTTAACAGGCAGTTGATTTACAATTTTCCTGAAGAACTCTTCGCAGATGCAGGCATACTTGCAATCGAGCATGCTGATTTTGATGGGATAGAGCGTCTGGCTTTGGTAACAGGTGGTGAAATTGCTTCTACCTTTGACAACCCAGAGTCAGTTAAGCTTGGACATTGCAAGCTTATTGAAGAAATTATGATTGGTGAGGACAAGTTGATCCACTTTTCTGGTGTTGAAATGGGTCAGGCTTGCACAATTGTGTTGAGAGGTGCAAGGTATGGTATTTCAGTATTTCCTTTAGTTGTTCTCCTCACTTGATATGTTTGCAATCTCCATGACATGCTACTGTTTATGGCAGCCATCATGTGCTTGATGAAGCTGAAAGGTCTCTGCATGATGCCTTGTGTGTGCTGTCTCAGACAGTCAATGATACTAGGGTTTTGCTTGGAGGTGGATGGCCTGAGATGATAATGGCAAAGGAAGTGGATGAACTGGCTCGAAAGACTCCTGGGAAGAAGTCTCATGCCATTGAAGCTTTCTCACGGGCACTTGTGGCCATCCCAACAATTATTGCTGACAATGCTGGTCTGGACAGTGCCGAATTGATAGCTCAGCTTCGTGCAGAGCACCACAAAGAAGGATGCAATGCAGGGATTGATGTCATCGCTGGATCTGTAAGTGCTGAAACTGAGTTATTTTAAAAGTTAAAATAGAATTCTTTGTATTTATTGTGTATGGTTATGGCTACAGATTTGTTTCTTTGGCCAGTCTCTTAAATATGTCTGGTCAGTAATTTCTTTACATCTTAAAAGATATTACACTTGGATTATAATACATATGGCTGCTTAACGTAGTTACAGACTATGATTTGTAGACTAATTTTTTGTTAAGATATTCGATTATTGGGAGTGTCGATCTAATGTTATAGATTCAAATACTATATGGTTTATGGCCTATTTGGTAGACAAGGCAGGTTATGATTGTATACAACCAAACAGCATGCAAACCTTATAATTTTTATTCCTGGCCGTGACGAGTTGCATGATTCAACTTTTAACAGGTAGGAGATATGGCTGAGCTAGGAATCTCTGAATCCTTCAAAGTCAAGCAAGCTGTATTGCTCTCTGCAACTGAGGCGGCTGAGATGATTCTTAGGGTTGATGAAATCATCACCTGTGCTCCAAGGAGGAGAGAAGACAGAATGTGAAGATGACCCATGGTCGTCAAGGGCACATTTGTTGTAATGGACAAGTATCTGGGCATTGGCTCGTTGATGTTGCTGCGGTATGGTTGTATTCTAGAACTGAAGTTTTGCGGCTTGTTTAATTTTTGACTGAAACTCTTCTCTAAAAATTGAAACTGATGTCTTTCTGATTTGGTAATCTTATTATTAATGATTAATTTTCCATAGCTGGTTGAGGTGCATTTTTTGCCTTTTCTGTTTCTTTTATACTTATTTATCGTTGAAAAAAAATAACAAGATTGTAAAGAACTGGAAGCTATCGTACTAATCAAATAAACTACTCAAATATTCCCCAGCAAACATAAAGAAGGGCTTGTATTATTTCATCCTCGGTCAGCAGTTTATGATCTCATGTTCACAGTTTAGGAACTTTTACCTGAGTTGCTTGGAGAATTAGTTACAGAACTCTCATACAATGATTTTCACTCCAAATAAACGAAGAAAGTGGAGGCGTCCAAGCCAAGGAAACTAAAGTACGTTTATTTGATGGATCTAGTTCATTTATAGAGAGGAAGCTAAACGATGGAGGTGAACATAGCCTAACAGCACAGCTCGATTTCTTTCTTTCGCCTTTACCTGATATATGACCCTGCAGATTATGTCTCCAACGTTAGATCTCCACTCTTTTCAAATGTGACACTCTAGTTTTAGCATTGACTTCAAGTGTTGCACAGAAAAAGTATGCAATATAGCAAACAAAATTGTACCTCAAGCCCTTGAGCCACATCTCAGTGACCAAAGTTTCACCAGGATACACATGTAAAAGGAATCGTCCAGATATGTTTTTGATCATGTCTGGGTCTCCCTTGCAAATGCATTTGATGATTGCCCGAACTGCAAACCCAAGGGTGCACAATCCATGCAAAATTGGTCGCGAGAATCTTTGAACATGGGGTAACAAAGAATAAATCAGTATAAAGCTTAGGGTGCAAATAGCTGTGTCAAGAACTGGAAACCAAATTTTTCCATGAAATGCAAGCATAGCCTCGAGATAAGAACAAGCAAGCATGATTAGCCTGTGGTAACAGCTTTGCAGTGAAGTAGTGTACTAACCCTGCGAGTTTTGCAAACATAGGATCTGAATGCAGAGGATTATAGTCACCAGATAACCTATACAATAATGCCTGCCAAAGCGGAAAAAAGAAGTTCAGAACTCGTGGAGAAGCTTGTTTTCAAAAAGCATCTCATGGCCCTTGAAGAGAGAAGTTGACATCAAACTACCCCACAGCATAAATTAACTGGACGAAAGGAGATTACAATTGGATAACACGTATTTTCTTTCTAAGGCAATGGAAAAGCTATTAGGAAGTAAATCAGGATATCAATGCTACATGCCTGAGATGATTGGGTACAATCCTCAAATACTGCAAAAGGTACACTTTCTGGGATTTTCATAGCTGAAGCCTGGTTGGCTGGATAGTTCGAGTATGTAAAAGGCTGAGATGGATCTGAGAAGCCACCAGCACCTCGTAGGAAGACAGTTGCCCTAAAAAATCATTCCTAGATTAATGAACAACAACAGCATGACAGTTGTAGATCAGATAATGTAGAGGACTCACCGATTCATGCTCAATAGCTCACCAGACTCTTTTTCATAACTTCTGGTTTCAATCTCAAGTATTACTGCTTTACCTTAATATTTCAAGGGAATGGAAAAAGCTATCAAGATCAATGCTTGTAACAGATCACAATTATTACGAAAATATACTTGAAAATATTTCTTCCCTTTCAATTTCATTTTTACAGTTTTTCCAGATGCTAAAAAATAAGGAAGCAAGCAACATCCAACTTCTTCGTGCTTATTATACTCAAAAAGTTTACTTTATAATACAGAGTTACAGACACATTCATCAAAGTCAAGACTGCCAAAGCAGCAGACTTATACTGCCACAGAACAACTCGACTTAATTGTCTCTATTTAGAAACATGCCACCTGAAATTGTAGTCGACAGTACTTAAGGTAATGAGCACGAACCTTTATCATGCAATCCTGCAAGACTAACTTTATTTTGTATCTGCAAGAAAGGTTTAATAATAACAATAATAATTAATTACAGTATCAAACAGCAGTTGAAAGAGAGATACAAAACAATTGACTTCTGCTAGAAGACAACTTTTACATCCCAATGTTTAATAAGCATACAGCATCAAATTTATGTACCAGATGGTCTTCATAAGAATCAAGAAGAATTCTCAACCTAGGATAGTCAGATATGCGGGAGTCTGACCAATTTAACTTTGATATCAACCCAAACATATACAATCCAGAGATAACCACATTCACTCCTATTATACACAACTCCAGGTTGGCAGTACTATGGACTTACAGTGGCTTTTGAAGGAAGCGGCTTGTGTACTTCTATGTATTGTTGTCCATGCAACAGCAGACGTGGATCAAACCTGTTAATAACAAAAACACGAACAGTTCAAGAGTTCATCCTATGAAGCTTTAAACAAATTGCAAAATGCTTTTAATAAATTGAACAGAAAATGAGTTTGTAAGCTAGAAAGACAGTATCTGCGGTGCCCCAGGGGGGTGGGGGGCGGTGTTGCAACTTAGAACTTACGTCAAGCCAGGAAGATCCACACCATCTGGCAGAGATTCAAGTGAAAATAAAGCAGAAAATGTTGGCAAAACCTGAGAAGCAGGAAATAGGAAGGTTAGTTTATCCATAAGTAAACTTACAAGCAACCTCAACCGGCTCCCACGAGGTAAATACAAAAACTTCTTTTTCATCAAACCTCAGTTTGGATTAACAATTTTGAACATATTAGGCATCCCATTTGCAGTTCAAATCAGCATTCAGGGATCGAAATGCAATTCAATATTCACCCTCAGCAAACACGAGTTAAGCTAGATCACAATAACAAACCATATATACACATTTTCCAATTAAAGAATCATGACCGGAACATCATTTTTAACAGAACCAACTGATAGATAACCTTGATGAACTGCTGTCCATTTTCATGGTAAGCATATTTAAGTTCATCCGTATCAACGGCGTTCCGTCCACATGCTCCAACACCCAAGGCATAGACAGCTACATCTCTGTATCCAAGCAAACATATCATTGTCCTACAAATTACATAACCACTTAAGTTCTTCACACAGGGCGGGGGCAGTACCTTTCAGTGTAGGTATATGTTGTCTGCGACAAAAATTAGGATAATAATCAGGTAGCCGAGTCAAAGAGCAAAACAAGAAGTCAAGAACCGGAATTTTCTTATAAGCCCAAGAAAGGAAAAGAAGATATACCTCTGGGAATTTGTGAGAAAGCAGGAGCTGCGGATTGCAAGACGAACTAACCGCCATAGCTAGCAAGCAGAATCAGATTGCAGCGAAGCTGATGATGTTCGATAGTCAATCCCAATTAAACGGTCAAATCAAACGAATCCGATACGGTAAATATTGAGGATCGAAATTTGGATAGAAGCCGAAGAAGAAAATGGTAAACTAATGAAGCAGAGGATAAAATCAGAACCGGACACGAAATGGAGACGATGAAGGGCAGTTTGGACTAGGCACAGTGGGCCCATGTTGTTTTACTTGTTTGAGCGTTCAAGTAATCGAGTTTTGTACTTTTGTCTGGTCTGGTTTCGGGTACTTGACGTTGTGACAGTATCTTTAGTGTTTTAAACTAGAATTAATCCACTTACCAAATCCTCTGTTTAGGATTATATTGACATTTAATTTTTATTGAGGGTATTATATTTCTTAAAATAACTGAAATCACTGAATTTATAATAAAAAATAAAAAATACTCAAAATCGATTTATTTGGATAATTCTAATATTTATATTTTTTAAAAAATAGAAATTTTAATATATTATTAATGATAAATTTTTAGGAAATTGGATTATAAATTTTAAATATTAAAAAAATCTAAATAATTAAATAAATTATTCATCTTAATCTATCAATAGAAATTATTAATAGAAATTTAAAAAATTGCTTTTCAAAAAAATAGAAATTAAAAAATTAAATTAAATTAATTCAATAATCGACCTATTATGTCGATTTAAATGAAAATATAACATTTAACACAGTATTTGCTTGGTTTTGGGCTGTAAAGGTCGACTGGACCATGGATGTGGTTAGCTTTTTCCTTTTTTTGTGGATTTTTGGTTGAGTGATTTCGACGGTCAAGATTATGCATAGAAGTTAGTTACGATTAAGTATTCCAGCTTTGTTTGGCCATGATTAAATCATGGTCTTCTCTTCCGAGTCTGTTCGAACTCATCTAAAGCTAAACTACTTCGTTTAGTGACTGCCGCCACTGCAAGTGAGAGAACCAAGAGCCGTTCGAAAATGTCCAACGGTACCGAACCCGTGCAGGCTAGCTCAGCAGTAGCGGAAAGCCACGCCGGTGCCTGCGACGCTGAGATGCAGCTTCTCGAAGGCGCCGTTCGGTCCTTGCCTTATCATGTCGTCAAGGACCTTTTGTCTGTCGGGGTAATCATATCTTTTGATTTTTATTGTCAAATCACCTATTCCAAATCCTATTATATTATTGCGTTAACATTTGAATTTGATAAACTTAAGTCAAAATCAATCGAATTTGGTGTTTGTTTCAGGTTTGTGCGAGATGCGTCCTTCGGCTATTTGGAATCGGGGAGCATATTTATTGTGATTCCTTGTTTTCACAATCGATGCTCCGCTCAATTCTAGAAGAAGAAACTTCTTTTAAATCAGAAGTTGAGTTTCAATTCTGCAACATATGCTTAGGTATATTGCAGTTCAGTTATTGCGATGATGGCGAAGAAACGGTGGTAAAAAAGGAGAGTGCAAAGGACATGGCTTTAAGCATTGCCGAGTTAGTGAAGCAAGAAGGGCATCAAATTGATGGATTCTCGCTCGAAGTTTCTGTTCCACCGCTTATCATGGAAAACGAATCTTCGCTTTTGTAAGACTTGTTTTTGCTCTCTTTGGTGGATTTTCTTTAGAGTTTCCTTTTGGCCTTTTTTGGTTTTTGCATGTGCATTAATAGAAAGCAGTGAAGATGATGATTTCTTTTCCCTTTTTGGTCAAAATTTTGTAGGTCAGATATGAAAAAGAAATATGAATCAGAGCCTTGGTTTCAAGAAAGGTTGCTTTCCAAATGCCATTCTGTTAAGGATGTTCTGAAATTTGCTATAACAAAACCCCTTGAAACATTGTTGGTAAGTATAATTTGCTTGTAACTGTTTTGATGTTTCTATTTAGACTGGTTGGAATCACTCATCAAGGTGGTGTAGTAAGAAGATCATTGATTTTATGTTAATAGAGAGCATATAAAATCAATTCGTTATATTAATACTAAATTAAATTAAAGTTTTGCAGGATGTTAAAGCTAGTGCAAGCTCCTTTCGAATTCGTTTGACTTACACTCACAATAGGGCATCAAAAAAGGTTCAGAACTCTGTTGAGAGGAATCAGGAATGCAAAAGGCAAAAAACAGGTATTTGAGATCTATCAAAACAGATACCAAAAGACTTGGTTGCATCTAGAAGGCCATTGTGTTCAACCAAGTTCAATTATTGATGCAGGCGCCGAGAATGGGTTGCACAATGTTAAGGATGAATTGGCGATTGCTGACAAAGATTGTTCTGGTTATTCAACCGTTGAAACAAATGCTGTCACTGGAATATCTTCCAATGGTTTGCAAGATCAAGAAACTTCTGAACACTTTGAATCCCCCATAGAGAAGGTTTTTTCTTTTTTAAATTTTTTCTGGCTACAATTTCTTTGCTTGCAAAAGCTTTTACTAGTCCGAATGATCTTGAAAATTCAACATTGTGGTTTATTATGATGTTTCTTAGTACTTAGTTTGGTATTTTGCCTTTTTAGGTCAGTGAACCTTGCCACTTGGTATACCTTTGCAGCAGGACACATATTTACCTATGTGGTCGATATCTGAAGGTAAGCTAATACATTAGAATCTCCTTCAATTGCCTTCACGAAATAACAAAAAAATATAATACACTATGGAATTGTTGACATTTTGAACAATCCTCAGAGTTTTTCTTGTTTACAATGTATGCTAAGCTCCTTTTATTGCAGTACTCAAGAAATGTGAGTCAAACACGCTGGATAATTGATGAGGAAAGGATGGGAGAGGCATCTGTTGAGGTATTAGCTACTCCTATGTTTTTCTGTATTGTCCAGATGAGTTTATTATTCATATGTAATAATATGTGGAAACTTAGCAATTTTATTTGTTTGCTCTTTAGGAGATAATAGGTAGCAACATTCTTCCTATATGTCGGGGAGATAATTACAGGTTTCATGCTGCTGGCAGAGAAGATATCGATGTAATGATGTTCTGCTTTATTGATTGCTTGTTTAAACTCAATGAATGTTGTGCTCATCTATGGAACCTATTGCAGGTTCGGATGTTGGGTTCAGGTAGGCCTTTTCTGCTTGAGATACAAAATGCCCGCCAAGTCCCATCAGAGCTGATTGTTAAGGAAATGGAATCAAAGATAAATGGCTTGGAGAATAAATTAGTGAGTTCTAATACCATTTTCATGCTCATGTGTGTGTGCGCAAGCACCCATTTGTGTATCAAATGATTTAGAATTAGTTTCACATAACATATTCTTGCAGGTTGGAGTTAAAAATCTTAAAGTGGTTGGCAGTCAGGGTTGGGCACTGATGCGTGAAGGAGAAGCTGAGAAGCAGGTGGTTTTGTCTTTTATAATTCTCTTTTCATTTGGATAGAAATATGAAGTTCAAATAAAATTAGACCTGGATTAGACCTAGATTTAAGACGTCCTATTTCATGCAGAAGCAATATTGTGCATTAGTGTGGATTTCTCGTCCGCTTGAGGATGAAGACATGCAATCCATATCTTTGCTCAATGACATGGTTAGCTGTTCTGTGAACTGTAGTTTTTCTTTCCCATGATGTATGTAGAGTGTGTCCTGTAATAAACCATTCTATTTGGTAAGTATTCTCTCTCTGTTCTTATGCAGAAAATTCTGCAGAGGACCCCAATACGGGTGCTTCACCGTCGAAGTCCATTGGAACGTGAGAAAATTATACATTGGTTGGCACCTTTCCATTAAACATCTTAGCTCCACATTCTTGTCTATGTTCAAAATTCAAAATGCATAACCCTGTTTCCATTTTCCATTTTAAATCCCATATAGGATGAAGATTGAGAGGATTGCTGGAAGCTGTCAATATTTTCTTTTGCATCTCTGCACCCAGGTAAGAGATTTAATTCTCACTTGAACATGGCCACATTCTCTGCCATTTCGTATTTTATTCTCACCCAAGTTGGCCTCTGCTAATTTTGGTACCCTGTGCTGTATATCACTATGTGTAAGGGAGCTAGCATGGGTGCTTTTTTAGCTTGATAAAAGCATAGTTTCTTGTGTTTATTGTGGGGGAAGATGTAATACACTAATATATTTGGAATGCAGGCTGGAACTTATATCAAGGAATTTGTTCACGGCGATCTTGGGCGTACACAGCCAAGGTACTACACTAAACTGAAAATGATATGGTTGTACTATCAAGTTCTTGTGGACTGTTCTCACTTTTTCTTAGGATTCAAACTAGTTTCTCTATCATTTATTGTTAGCAGAAGCAAATACCACACTAAATAGTTTAAATGAAATAAAGCTTTGAGCCTTTGACCTTGGATGTATTTGTCATAATGTATGTATGCTTGCAGTCTCATGGGAATCTAACTGAGTCCTCTCTTTCGCAGTGTTGGATCAATTCTAGGATGCAGAGCAGAGATACTGCAGCTGGATGTTACCGACGTGAAAATGGATTGTTTTGTGACTGAATGAGGCATACACACTCCCATGTTCCCTTTAACGTATATGATATTATAAATTTTGAGTTGGAAGATTGCCCGATGAGCTTTGCATTGTCTAACGGTTAGCATTAATCTTTCCACTTTCTTGGGCGGTCAGCTTCTTGGAAACCATCTTGTAGTTTCACTTTGTTGTTAGAAGTTTTGGAAGACGAGTGATTAAGAAAAAATTAAAAATAATAATAATAATAAAAAAAATTTCTATGGGGTGAAGAGGATTCTCGCCACCCTCCTCCTTATTGGGCTATTTGTCGTTGGGTCAATGTGGGTCCAAATCTTGGTAATTTGAATAACCACGTTGTTTTCAGCCTAACCGTCGGCATCATAGGGATTTAGCTGAATGGGCTAGCTTGGCCCATTTCTTTGTAAATGGTAACCTCCGGTTTTAGCTACCTGGGCTAGGGCGGTTCATTTCCTGGTAAAACATATCTGGTTAAGGCATTGCATAATTATCATTTAATTTTTTAAAAATATTTTAAGAGTATATTTCAACATTATGCCAAAAAACAAAAACAATGGGTTTAGCCGCATGGGCGAACGAGGCCTAAATCTTAGAAAATAGACAAACAACTTATGGTTTTAACCACCGGGCCAGCACGGCCCATGTCAATGGTAAAATAATTTTCTTGTAAATTATAATCAAGAATTTCTTCTTACTGATGGGGTATGCAATGGAATTCTTCCCGGCGGGCATTTCGATTATCATTCATATCCTCATTCCATCACTAGAAGC